TAGTTAACAATGAAGCTAAATTAGCTACACAAGCACATGCAATGCAGCCCTCCTTACGTACAACCTAGGGTTGAAGCAATTATTCACAAAATCTTAACTACAACCTGAGGTTGGCCTAAATATCAGCATTTTTCCATTCTTAACAGTTAGCTGTTTTTTTTTTCCCACTTCTACTCTTTACTGTTGATACACAGCATACCATACAAGCCTAATACACACGACTTTTCATTCTACATCTCTGGACTGTTTTTATGATATACCTGATACTACTGAGTGAAGTATGTTTTCTTCAAAGACAGCTTACCAATTTTCTGCTTTCATGCTGCCACTCACCACTTTTTTTCCTTCCGTGGCTTTTTTTGAAAGGCTTTTTTTTCAACATGGCATTTCAGAGATTCAGCCTACAGAGCAGCACCCCTCTGTACTGGTGCAGGGGAGAAAAGCCAGCTGCCATAGAAAACACTTTAGGGAATTTATAACCCTACAAGATTGCAAAGTGCTATAAAAATACTGCACCATTTAAGAAACAGTAAAACTCTATAGCAATGGGGACTGCTCCCCATATTAACTTATCCACAGAAGAAAAGAATTAGGGCCTTAAAGGCAATTTTGAGAATAAACCATGTACTTACATATAGCAACAATGGCTTTGGACTCATACTCTTACATACAAGCAGTGACCAGATATTCACTACTGCAGAGGCTCAAAACTACTTCATCCTGTTTTCTTTCTACATGGAGTAGGGAAGGGACCAACATCCACTCAGAGCCTGTCTTTGTCTTCACTTCCACCAAGCTGCTATTTCTCCCTTGCTATGTAATGTTCAATTATGCAAACTAGAAAATCAACTCTTGAATCCACATGCAGGCTGCTTTTTAGTCAATCCTTGCATTTTTCCTACTCTTGGAGTCTATGTAAGCTTTTTTTTTTTTAATGTAAAAGTTATATCTTTTATGTTGAAGGAGCCATGTACAGTGGAATGCAAAAACACACTGTGTTTACTGATGGAGATTGATTTACAGTTTTCAGTTTTCATATCCTGGATGTGTTGGTTATAACCCTGTTTGAGTAAACAATAAAATGTATAGGGAGAATCAGCATCACTTCTTTTAGAGGAGCACAGAAAAGTGACTACGCATTAAAATTCTGGTGTGTGAAATCTTTTTTACTGCAAATAGAGTGTTAAACATTGAACCAAATAATGCTTCCCCCTGTCATTTTTAGTACATTGCCTAACTGATACTATTATAGGATGGATAATGTCCTTTTCTTTTGCTTTTAAACTAGATCTTTCTGCTGTATACTCCCACATGTTGCTTTAAAGTGTTCTTCTGCATCTTACAGTTGAGCACGCCATTGTTTGGTGTGTTTGTTTCAGAAACAAGTACACTTGTGTGACTGCTTTTATCTCCAGCGACGATCTACGACATATCTGCTTGGATTTGGTCCTATTTTCTAAACTCTCAGACATCTCAGATTTTACTTTATCCTCCGCTCTTTATGATCCCTGTTAGCGGTAGGTTTGATAAGTGTAAGATTCAGCTCATATCACAGGTCATTTACAAAGACATCAGATATCACTGCCGCTAACTTGCTATGCTCTGAAATGTTTCCCAGGCTAGCTTTGTTAGGACCAGTTCATTTCTGCACTCAATATAAGGCTCAGACAGTGGTTGAAGTGAAAGGAAAAAAGAGAGACTGAAAGCAGTCTTTTCTCCATTATTGCCCCATTCAAGCAAAAGAACATTTTTGATTTAAGAAATTTTATTCACATTCTGGGATTAGACTGCTGACAGTACAAATATTGCTGATTAGCAAAGATACCCATATCTGTTCCTCTGTGTGCAGCTATTTAAGATTCAGCTTAATTAATAAATCATTTTAATAGTACGAGAAGTGGCTAAGCATTGAAACAGAAATAATAAAGAGAAATTCTTAATGCAGAATTCTGTTATACCAAGGATGGCATTCCATGATTAAATTCTTTTACCACCTCTTTGAAAGGTCCTACCCACAATGAAAACCGTAATAAACTTAAGGTCTTATCATAATAAAATTGCCCAATAAACTGCATAAACAACTAAAAAGCAAAATAATATTTCAGCCCAGAAAACATGTTTAAGTAAAATCTGGTAAACTGACCACCAGCCTACTCTCAGTTAATGTGCAATTTTTCCCCACCTATTATACATGTCACATATATACATATAAAACACGTTTCTACATCATCAAAAATGTATTTCTTTTGAGAATCTTAGCTTCTCCCAGTCCATAAACAACCCGCAACCCTTAGCACTGTGTGTAATTAATTCTAGGAAGGTAACAGATAGGAAGTAAATGGAGCATGACCCTATCTAACTTCAGCATATACAGGGACTTGTATGGGCTACCAAGAGCATAGAATGTTTTTCAAGTTTTGCTTACTATGACTAAGAACCAAGGGACTTTCTGCACTGTTTCTTTCCCTTGTATGCATGGGTAATAGCAGCCCTTTTCTTGACATACACGGGTTAAAAAAGACGATAAAGAAACTGCTTATGCAACAACTAAATCCATTACCTTAGGTGAAAATAACATTACTAAGGTTACAAAGCCAATCTGTAAGGGCATGTGGAATGTTCATTCATGTCAGATCAAGGACCTTTTCACTTCAAAGGGAATCATAAGTAACAGAGAGAGCAATAAACAAAACCCACAGCAAGCAATAACAGAGATTATAGTAAGGACTAAAGCTCTCCAGTCACTAATTGATGGTCCATTAAGAAACTACAGGCATAGCTCTGGAGATCACCGATCTGGACTTTGTAACATAAGAAGGGGTAAAAAGATAAACTGGGTTATGGATACACAAGGAGGGCCTGTGGGACGATGCATAATTTATTAAGGAATGTTTAGGAGAAAGGCAAAAAGAGAGAAAAAGGGGGAATGGGGAGGAAAAAGAGGAGAATAGAGGAGAAAGGCTAAAAGGGGGCAGTCACATGTAAGCAGCCACAAGTCAGACCAGTTATCTAACTAAACTCTGCCCCTGATCCCCACACTCCATCCCATTTTCTAATTAATCCTTTTAAACTATCTTTGCATGTAAATCTCATTCTCTATCCCTTGTGTGAGTGCTGCAAAGTCCAGATACCCTCCAATGCAGAAGCTAGAGCAAATGAACTAAGAACCAGCATCTGGAGATAGACCTTGGGTAACAGCAGCCTCCACGTTTGTGGTGCCAGCCACTGGACTGAGCGAGGGTCTCAGCACCAGAAACCAGGGGGAACAGTATTTTTATTTTCTCCGAGTCTGATTAGTGTGTCTGTGTACATGTACAAAGCTTCAAGCTGGACTACTCAGTGAGTAGGAGGCTCAGGGTCTGGACAGAGAGGCCAAGGCCAGGCTGATAGTGGAAGGATCAGAGTGTTTGTGTGACGGGTGTGAATGTGTGCATCTGTTGGATGGAGTGCATCAGGTTGGACTAGCCTGAGGACCGGGAGACCCAAAGATCAGGTGAGAGGGCCCAGGATTCAGGCAGGGATATCAGACAGGCTGAGTGCTCGTGCTGACATTCGAGGGATCCGTGAATGTGAGTATGCCTATGCATCTAGAAAGTGAAGGTACGTGTGTTTTCACCAGTGAGCTTTGGTTATAACAGAGCAGAGAAGACGATTGTCTGTACTTAGATTTTATGTGAGGCCTGGCAGGGTTACTCATGGGTGTTGTTAAAGACGGTGCCCTGACTGTTGCAGTCTGTCAGTCAGAAACACGAGAACTGCAGGTGCATCCATCATTGTGAGACGGAGGGACTGAGGGACATCCAGGTCTCCAGGAGCACCAGGTTGGGCTCCAGCAGACAAGGAGCAGGAATCAAATCCCCAGGTCCTGGAGCCCATCAAAGGCACCAGCCTTATAGCATCCCTTAACATAGTACCTCAAGTATCAGGAAATGCAGGAACTACAGTTGTTTGCACAGTCCTAATTCTACCTGTTTTGGACTTGTGTTTTATGATACTGTCTTTAATTACACAGTTTCATTTATTTTTTTCATTTTCACTGTATGGGATAAATGATGCTTACCTAATGAGCTGCTATATACCCTTTTTGTGTGGTTACGAGGCCTCACTGCACAACATTCACACCTCAATCTGAGGATGAGGTGATTCATTTCCTGTGGGGTCTGTCAATAGGGTACCTAGGTGCTCACATTCAAGTGACATTTTCTTTATTCTCCAGCTGCGGGGCTGAGGCACACAGCAGCTCAGTGAAAAACCACAGCTACAATTCAGTGCTTATGTGTTAGCAAGTCAGGAACTTCACAACGGGGAATATGCTGTTAGTTTCCTCTGTGTGAGGCCTGGTTTAGATATCTTTCCTAACAGATACAAACCTAACTCAAGTTCTCCAGGGTTGCATGCACCTGACTTAGCCATAACACCATTTTTTCTGTACCTGCTATCCTTTGGCATGACCCTTCTATTTTTTTTCCAACTAATGAGAAAGAGGTATGGTTGTATATACATAAGTATCACTAAAACAGTGCCTTACAATAGGATATACCAGGCAACAGAATAAAAAGACAAAGCAAAAAACATGCTGTATTTATACAGTACTTGCCAGTAGTATATCTCCAAGCACATGTTGGCAGAGATAAATATTTTTGTCCCCATTGTACTGATGAGGAAACCGAGACACTAGGACATGAAACAGCTTCCCCTGTATCACCTATCAGGTAAATGACTCAGCTGAGAGAAGAGTCCCTCGCTTACAAAGCATTTTTTTTCAGGGTTCAAAATCATTTTACAACTATGCCATGGATATTATCTATTGTATCATCTACACAAAGATAAATGCTAGTGCAGAAGGACAGCACAGTAACCAGTAAGAGAACCCAGTTCTGTAGTTCTGCAGTCAGTGAAGCCCACAAAATCGTAACACACTGGGTAATGGAATTGTTCTGAAAAACTCCTGTATAATTCCAAAGAGTACGTACATGATGCAGATGTAGAAATTTATAGACTTCCATAATTCATCAGTTTATTCAGCAAAAATACAGTCCTCAGATGCATTTTTGCTTCAATTTAATAAATATAAAAATACATATAAAAATACAATATTTTTGTGTTTCAGGTAGACAGATATATATTACATAAACAAGAAAAGTCAAGATATAAAACTTCCAGAAAGGAACTATCAATTAATAAACATAAAAAATTACTGTACCTCTTAAACAAAATACTTGTTACAAACTTAATCATTTCAGATAAGGCCCATATCCCAAAGTGAAATATACACACTCATCCAGCTGGAGATTCAGGCCATACAGCATATGTGTAATTCTTGACCAAGAACAAAAATCATATGTAGTCGTACCCTGTTTATTGTCTTCTGGAGTTTTTAACAACAAAAAATACTTAATTTACCTGAAGATGTAGAATGTATATTGACACTGTTCTTCCTGAATAATTGCTACTTGGTTAAGAGCTTGTATATTACATTTTAACCCTGCACATATGGGCCCAGGCAAGGCTTTATTTCCTGTTCCTCACAGGAAGGATATCTGTAATCCAGTAGTGAAACAGAGTAATGACTGTCTTGGTATGATCTGAAACAAAGAAAAAATATTTATCCTGAAATATCTCCATAACATTTCTGAACATTAAAGAAAAACAGTTATGTGAACATCTGTTTCCATTTGCTATCATCATTTCTATAAAAACAATACAGACACTGGAGCTTAAAGGCTAATATATATGAATTTTTAGATAAACAGGTGCATTTTCTTGAAGGAGGTCAGTTATTTGTATGAGATACAATTTTGGTTCTTTATTATTGAATGCTTCATTTATTATGGTTCATTAATTCAGAAGAAAGGATTTAAATGATCTGACCATATGGGTAAGGCTAAAAGAGTGCAATCTCCATTTCTTTCTTTCTGGAGAGTAATTTCACACATTATTATTTACATTACAGTAGCACCTAGAAGTCCAAGTTGTGAATAAGTCTTCTATTAAATCACATTTAGATAGCTGTATTAAAGCTCACAAATTCCCATCTTAATTCAGGGTTTATCTATTTAACTTTATTTATTTTTAATGATAGGAATTTCTACAGTACTTATCACACAATATCACATTTAAGATGATTCTATAATGTTATGCTAATACAACTTTCACATTTAATTTCCTTTTCTTTGAATGCACATTCAAAAAAAAAAAAGTTTAAATTTAATCATTTTAGGGCTTCTGTGTATCCGTATTGGCGCACAGTAACTCTATTACTTCTGGTCTGTGAAATGTATCCCCACACACAAAGGAGACATATATAAAGGACAAATCTCCAAAAAATTACAGTTAAAAGAAGCTTCTAGCTCATTGGTGAGTGATAATTTCCTAGGCAACACGGGAAGAGTATATTTGAGACCTGACACTAACCAACAAAGGGAAAATGTTAGTAGATAATGGAATGAAGATGAGTAGAAACCAAATGAGTTCATAAATTAGGAGATAATGACATATTTTTTAAAATTAGGTGATCACCTATGCTTTAATAATTCATGTGAAATGAGAATTAAGTAGCCCTCATTTCAAAGCTATCGTTTCCAACCAGCAAATGGAGCATTACTTCCAGGTACAGCTCTTTGCTTTTGCCCACTGCACTGTGCAGGATCACGAAGGCATCTGGCCACCTGGTTTCTGAGAGAGGCCAGCAAAGCTCCCATCACTAGAAATGTGTGTCTGTTTGACTTGTTAAGCTTTCTGTTCCCTGCATTTAGAGAGAACTGTAGGTGGAGCTACATGTTTTTCATTAAAGACTACAAAATACATGGAAATAGCAATAGGACATCGTTCCTTTTTTAAAACCTGAGAACAACGAAACTTTAGCTAACCATTTGCAAACAAAATTTGTTGATCACCTTCAATTTTGTACGATCACTGAAGTACAAGGTGCTATGCAGTCTCCCATTTATGAGGTGATGACTAGACAGATCAACCAGTGTCTCTTAATCATAAGGATTCTTGCTCTTTTCAAGCATGTTTTTCCTCTTGGATGAAGGGCTAAATACAATACATAACTGTTGATCATCTGTTTCAACCTCTTTGGCGATTTACTCTTCCTGAAGAAGTTTTCTGACCCAACTTCTTATACCTTTATTTGACATGGCAAATAGTGAGATCTAAGAGCTGAAGATAAACAGAAACTTTGATTTTATTTAATTGTTGCTTTCTTCTTTTGATTGAACCCTGTTTCCAAATCTGAATAACATGCTAGGATGCATGAAGGAAGTTCTAAAGCATGCTCTTGAAGCAGTGGTTTTACAACTTGTGGCCTTCTGCAGACCTTAGGCAGTCCACAGCCTTACTCTAAAGCAGTAAAAAGTACTGTGAAAAGTAACTCAGAAAAACAAGGCTGCCACCAGTAGGCATCACCTTGCTAAATGGAATTTGGTACAATCAATGAAAAATTAAAAAAAAAAAAAAGTTATATAATGGTATGTTTACTTATTAGTTCACTAATGGAGAATGTGTATTTATATGAGAAAGACAGATACCTTCTCAGTGTTTTTTCCTAACACTTTTCCTTCATTGAAGTAAATTAAAAACTGGACAAAACATAGCACCCATTATTCTTTCTTTGATGCCGGCACCTTAAGTAGAATCATAGCTAGAGAAAAAGGGTTAACATACTGCTTCCTGAACTACAGGAAATAAAATGGGTTCATTTTGTAAACATAATACACCCTGCTAAAATTAAGAAAAATTGTTTTATTTTCATTATGTTAAGGAGGAATAACCTTTCCTTCTGGGACATCATGTCCCAGTAAAAATAGTCAAAACCAGAAAAAAGGCACACAATCTTGTTAAAAAAAAAAAAAGATTTCTATGATGTAGTCTACATTTTTATCTTCATAAACAGTCCTACTCTGCATTTCTATTACAAGAACTTGAATTTGCTGAGACAACAAGTTTTTATAACTGACTATCACCTGCTCATTAGGAATGAAATCTAAAATTTTAGGAACTGGGCAAGACAATCTATTATTGAGACAAAGATAGTAAAAATAAACATATAATTAAAAGGCTAATTCAAGGTAAAATTTCATAGCATTATATTCTCATTCACTGAAATTCCTCCGTTACAAATAGGATGTATTGTTAAACTCTGCTGAGCTAAATTAATATCTAGCAGCTGTTCAATTATCCTTTAATAATTCATAGCAATATATTTTCTTCTCACATTGTTGTACCTCATGAATATCAAATCAACTAAGTTACACCACTGTGAACCTGGCATGAGATTAGATTAGAGCCTGGAGTGACAACAGTTACTAGGAAAAAAATCAACAGGAAGAGTAAACAGTTTCAGGCTGTACCATCAGAAACATAAATGAATTTAAAAACATCACTCAGAAAATTGTTTTCTGCTTTTTCAAGTGACAAAGACATCCACCTGAAAATCAGGGTAGTTGCATGGATGTGTTTCTAATTTGTTTCTGTTTTTTCTTCTCTCTGCAATTTGACATTTCTGGTATATAAAAGGAAACAGCAGCTTGCCTGAAGGCTGCAAAACCAACAGATTTCCTACTGTATTCAGTAGAATTTGGATAAGGCCTGTAAGAAATGTCAGGAATGTGGTCACTTCAACAGCTCCACTTTGATTTAATCAATAGAAGCTGAATTAGGTCATTTAATAAAAGGCCAATTACCACTACCACTATTCCTGCTGAGTCCTGCTTAGTTTGCAAGTGTGTATTAAATCCAGAGAGACTATCTGATAAGAATTAATGTCACAGAATCTAGTCTTGAAATTGATGATTGAATGCAAGATGGATTTTGTTCCATGCATACCTGGATACTTCGTATCTATCAGAACCTGGAGGGCTGTCACAGAACTTTTTTACATCTTGAAGAATCCATATTTAACTGTTTAAAAGTGTCCATTTCAAAATTTATCAGCTATGAGCTCTGCAGGCAGGAATTCCCTCTTTTCTGTATTATAACAAAACACAGCATACAGTGTGCTCCAATCTTGACTGTGATCTTTGGCCACTATCATGCTGTAAATTATTTAATGATGTTGTGAACAGCAATCTCTTCTTTGAATGTTATTGCTAAGCATCTGAGAGCTATGATCTTATTTACTCTGTTACCACACTACTACCATTTGAGTCATTACTTTTAAAAGAACTTAGAGGATGATCTGAAACGGTTGAGATTCTCTTGTGCCATAGCAAGTGCTCTCAGCTCTGATTAAATTCCTTGGGAGGCAAGAAAATTCAGCACATCTTGTAGATTTGGCTGCTGCCACCAACAAATGTACTAATGACAAGTATGAATGAGCATTTAAATATCAACTGCTTCAAAAATGAATTGTTATGGACCTTGTACGGGTTACGTGCTCATCTCACAATCACTTGAGCAACTATTAACTGTCCAAGAAGAAATCTTACTAAAATTACAGGGGATATAATAGAGAACAAAAGCAACATGAGTGGAATCAGACTTGGGCCTCAGGGATGAAAGGGTTTAGTAATGTAGTATTTTTTCTTTTTATAAATGACATTATTATGTTATTTATTATAGAGACTTTGCTTTTTTACATAACTAACAGTGTTTTTAGCAACTTAAAACTGACATTTATATTTAAACAATAACAAACCAGTAAAGCAAAATTAGCAAGCAAAATCTATATGTTGAAGAAGCCATGTAGGTAACGAAAAATGAAATGAAATAATGGGCTTTACTGATTCATATGCATGTAAAATACATCTTAAACTGGATGACTGAAAACTCCAAGATAAACATGTTAATTTCAATTATTTAAAAAGATTATAAAGACAGTATATTAAAATATGCTTTAAACATGACTAAATATTAAAACAATTCAGACTATAAAAAAAAAAGTGTTTTAAGAACCTTAATCATCTTGTACTCTGCAGTCATTGCAGAAAATGAAGTTTCTGTACTTGTAATTCCCTGTTTCTTGTTTGGTTATTATTATATTTTCTGTGGGAAATATGCTTTCAGATATTGTATAAACACATATTTACCACTTTTACCACAATTATTTACAGCTTCCCTATACAAACCTCTGACAAATCTGAATTTTAATCCACACAAAAAAGAACATCAGTGAATGATCATGCCTGAATGGTACATACCAGGAGGCATCATGGAATGTTCTTGGAATTGTTTCAAAGCATCGTTCAGTCTGTCAATATCCTGTAGCAATACAAGGGATTTCAGCTGATGTAGATGGGTCACATCTGAGGCAGATAGGTTGCGAGATTCAAGATGTTGTAAAAGTTCTTGAGTAGTTGCTGAATTTACAGCAGAATCCGTGCATTTTGATTTATCTGGAAAACAATGGGAAAACACATTAAAAACATTCAACATGTATGGAGAATTTTCAAAGATAGTGCCTTCCTTTTTAGTATAACTTACAATCAGACATCATGTACTAAAGAGCAGTCTGTTCATTTTTTCATTAATTATTTAAGCAATGATAAGGGGAAAATACCAAATTCAAAAAGTAAAAAGGACAATAGAATTCGTCATGACACAAATGCAAGAGGAATCTAAATTTGGTATGACGACGAGACTGTACAGTAGACAAAAGACTTTGCTTCTTATACAGTACATATTACAAAAATCCACACGTGGAGACGGGAAACAATTGTGTGGAGCTAATGCAAAGCACTTCTGGAGGCATCCAATTACCTTGTTACTGTACTTTAATGTTTTTATTTTACAAGCGGATATTACAGCATGCAACACAGCAGAGAAGGACACACTTTGTTTCTGTGGTGCTAAAGCACAAATTAATTCTCCCATTCCAGTAACAATGGAACATCTCTTTAATCAGACTCCCTTTATAATATTTATAAGTTATAATCTTTTTTTTTTTTAACCAGCAAACCAAGTGATAAGAATAGATTTTTCCCGATTCAGCTTTCTGACATAAGCACAAGAAGTATAATCCAATGTGACCACTTGAAAACCCTGCTAAAAGCAATGGCTTCCAATTTTGTCTAAAAAAAAAAGGGGGAGTGTTAAAGTCACTCAACTAGAAAAGGCAAACAGCATGATGCCAGAGCTATATTTAAACTAGGACTTGCCTAACAAGAAAGTTAGTCACACTGATTTGAGGATGTGAGATCTTACCAGCAGATGGCCCAACCTTCTGATCTGCAGGTTTGACAGCAGGGCGAGTCAGTCCGTCTGCCACTGCTAAAACCTGAACTTGATGTCCTGGGAAGCCGGGCAGCTAAATAATTTTTATTTAAATTCTACATGTGACACAGCTGTGGACAATCGACCAGTTTTCTGTTCTGGACCACGTGTTAACAACAGAATGGTTAACTGAATTTACAGTTTTACTCCGATACTCCGGATTTACACTACAACAACTGTAAAAAGCAGTGTAGTTTACGTTTACTTAGCTATACACTGAAGTAGTAAGATCCTTGTTTCTGGTGATGGAAGTACATTAGCCAGAAAGTAGGATGGCTTTCAAATGCTAGACAGTGTATGAAGACCTGACACAGTGGAAATATTGTAACAGTAAGCATAGAAAATTCTGTATATAAATCTTAAGAAAAACAAATGAAAATGCTGATGTCACCCTAAGAGGGTTTTTAAAGTAATTCTGTAATCTAGAGATGAATTTTATGGGAGTAGGGGCTGACAGCTCTGACTGAAGATGGACTCATACAGGTAGGTAAGCTGTTTAATCTTCATGTAGCTCCACAAAGACAGTCAAGGCCATGCACTTTGAAAATATTTTCACTGCTTTTTTCCAGTTTTACAAGGCAGTTATCATTTTAAAGCTATGTTCTGAGCTGAACAACTAAAGAATGCTTTATCTTGCGTTTAAGATAGAACATTTAATTCTAGATGATACCAGCACAAGCTGGTATATGTACAGATAATTTTAATTATCATTAAAACATCATTATTTCTGGAAGGCATTAATGACATAAGCACCATACAAACAGCTGTTTTGGAGGGCAACAGAAAAACATACTTAGCTACAACAATATGAATTTCCCCGATTTTAGTGTCCAGAATGAGCATTCAATAGGCCATTAGGGAAAATATCCATATAATCCTATTTAAAGTGCTATGTAATGTGCATTGAACATCAGATGACATTCATCTCATTCACAAGTACTTTATGCCAATACCCTTTCCCAATGCCAACAGTATCTTCCTCTTTCCTCTTGGATGCAGTCTGTCTAGATTTCATTGTACATTACAAATAAATCTCCCCCTGGGAAGGAGAGCTTTTCAAAAAGTAGGTTGGTTCAGAGATAGCAAGCATGAAAGTAGTTTAGAATAGCAATTATTGCCCTCATTTGGAGCTTTTTGAAAGGAAGTAACCCTTCTGGATGTTTGCTTTCAGAGAAAAGAAGAATTTGGTGCATTTAAACCACTACACTTACCCAAGCACACTGAAATGTTTTAAAAATGAGAAAGGAATATTATGTGCATTTTCAAAGACGGAGAAACAAAGACCACAGTTTTCTACATTGATGTGGATGCTTTAATGTACACACCAGGACATGGGACAAATGCTAAGCATCTGCATCTCTTACAAATTCAAAAGATAATTCTCTGGTAGATTTGGACCATTCTACAGAAATAAGAACCAGACACCTATTTTCCTCAACATGCTAATACTTAAAAAAAAAAAAAAAAGGAGAAAATGATACATACTGTCAGCAAAATAAATTTGTTGTGTTGCCTGCAAGAAATCCAGGATGCTATCTGCCTTTTCATCTATGTCTTTTAAGCCTGCTGCTCCTTCTCTGTTGTTTTTGTCAGGCTGATATGTAAAATCCACACCAGTATTTTTTGTTAGCAAGCCAGCTGCTCTCATTTTTTCTTTCTGTCGCTTCTTTTTCATTTTCCTCTTTTTGTTTTTGCTTATTTTGGGGCTGTCTATCTGCTGCAGCTGTAAATTATCTTGAACAAGAGTCTCTTGCATTCCGGATTCTGTTTGTTCTCCATGTAGACTTTCAGAGTTTTGCAAACTGCTCTTTTGTTTCTTCCTTCGAATGCGTTTTCTTTTGGTTTGTCCTTGATACTCCTCTGCAGATTCAAAAGAGAAATGATAGTTGTAAATAAGAAGATCTGTAATAAGCATTTTGGAACTGCATACAATGAAATATTACTCCCTTCAAACTCCGGGACGTCTGAGTGGCTCTAACCTTACTTTTATGATTAGAATGCCTTTCAGTGCTACAATGTCAAAGCCAACTTTTGTGAATGCAGAGAGTAAGAAAAGTTCTTTTCCCTTCTGCTTTCAGAAAAGACTGTACTGTCCTTTGTGCTATATACTTTACATCACATTTACTCTCTTAAGGCAGATACTGTGGTTCTACGCAGAGAGTGAGGTCAAAAGCATTACCAAGGCAAAAAACAATATGGGCATGCTGGGGGACATGGGATGAGGAGCTCCCCCAGGAGGTCCACACAACCAGTTGGTAGATTGACCAAGAAGGCAAGAATGCAAGTAATTCACAACAAAAGACTGATGCATCCCTCCATGGTAGTTCTGTGCCTTAAAAACACCACTCATCCGTTTCTGACTCTTCTACTTTCTCCTCCTTAAACATCATTTCCCTTTGGGATACCTTCCTGCTAGCTCAGCTTTGGACATCGACTTTATAGGTAAAGCACACAGGGCATCAGTGACCTTGGCAAGTAATCTCTGATCTCTTTAGCAGCCTGTCTTGGTTCTGCCATTCCCTTGTTATATTATAATTTCCTTACGAGCTAATTCTTCAAAAGGCTCAAATGTCAAGGGAAGGAAGTCCCTCTTGCTCTCCAAGACAGCTTTCATGTTGCTCTGTTCAGATCTTATCACTGTGCACAAAGCCAGAACTCTGAAGTCATCTCTGACCCTGAACTGACTTGCTCCCACACACACTCTCCTGTGAATGTAAGCCTTCCTGGCACCAGCAAGGGAAGACTGCCAGAATCCATCTTGCCTTTGACTGCACTGCTGCAGAAATCTGTATTTATGCCTATAATAATTTCCTGTCTAATTAACTGAAATCCCCTCTTCCATAGTCTAACGAAACCCTCACACATTTAATCCTGGAGCCCCGGGAGCCAGTGTTCTTCCAAAGCCTTGCTGCAGAAGGTTTAGCCATTTATCCTTCCCTCAACCTCTGCCTGCACATTTCTAAATTTTTTTACAATGTGCTGAGCCCAGTGGGCTTTTTTTCCTGGTTTTATGCCATTCCCTCAGGGTCAAGGATCTTTGCTTGCCCAACGTCGGAGTCATGCAGCAGACACCTGTAGCCCATCTCCTGTTTCCAAATGCTCTGCAGTGTCCTGAACTGCCTCTGACATCCTCAGCATGCTCGGCTTCCTCATCACTCCTCCCCCTCCAGTCTTTGCCTCTATTTTCTCCAGAGTCGGAGGCCCTCTCTTTCATTTCTGTTTCTTTTTCTGTCTTGAACTCTGTCAGCTCTGAGCCACTTTCTCTCTTTAAATATCGCTACAAGACTTTTAGTTCTTTAGCTGACAGATGACTCACCGCAAAGCAATTTTCCATACTTTCTATGAAGAAGGCTGTGTAAAAATAAATCCGCTGTATTGTAATTGAACACCACAGCGTGCTAATGACACACCAAACGTCACCTTGTACCCACAGCGTGGAATGTTTTGCACGCATGGTATTTGAGCTAAATATCTTTATACATGATTTGGGCATATGGGATGTGGGAAAGATAACGGCTGTGCAGTCCTGTAGGAACGAAATATCAGAACCGAAGGCAGATATGAATGGTGAAAGATAACATAAACAAAACATCACTGCTTCATCTTAAGATCCCCTTTGGAATTGCACGGGAGTGTTTTTGTTCCAGTAGGTGAATTCCCCTATGAACACGGATCCGTTGTTCCTCCTTAAAATCTCTCATCCCTTGGTGAACCTGAACACGCAGTCTGCTAACACAGCTACTCTAATTCGTGCTCTCAGCAAAGTGGCCCAACATGCCTTTTAAGCATTGAAGATCCAGTAAATCACAGCAAAACTAAGGCACGTTGTGCAGTCAAGCACCCTCTGTTGGTTTGAAACCACTTAAAAAGATGGTACACAAGGGAGAAGAGGGCTTAAGATAATTGAAGTTTTGAGTCAAATCCAGAAGTTTCCTTATCCATGCTAGCTCAGGACAGCAGAAGGTCTCAGAGGGGGTGAAGCTGTCAAAATGTAGAATGAATTTACTCTTCCCATATATATGTTATTAAGATAAATGCCTGATTGAAAGGAAATCAGAGCTTCCTGCAACACAGGAGACAAATCAAACCCAAGACATTACCTGGTTCTCTACAGGATTTAACCTGGCAGTCCTCTAGCAGGTTGTTTTTGACATTCTTTCCTCTATATATCCCTTATATTTCCAATATATCATAACATCTCTTCAGTAAGACTGAAATTTTGCCTCAATTATTCCAGGATCCTCCCTGTTGGACAGTCAGCAGATTTCAACCTCAACTACTGCCCCCTGTGTGGGAACTAATAGTGATTTGGCATCAGGAACATATACAATTAGATGCTGATAAATGCAAAACAATGCACAGAAAGAGGATTAATTTGGACAACTCGTGGCTACGGTCAGAGTGACCTGTTATCAATGCAGGAAAAGCAAAACAAAACCCAAGCCTGCTTTCCATGGACCTGGTGTCACTATGAAAACATTTGTTCAGTGAGTATCAGTGATCAAATCAGCAACCACCTTGTTTGCATACCAAAGAAACAGCGTGGAAAATAACAGAAACAATATTACAAAGCTATTAAATAGATCTGTTGTACTCTTCAAGCTTGTCACGCTTTATTTCATAGCATAGTCCAAGCATAAGATGTTGGCAGAAGAGAACATGACTCTCACAGAAGTTATCACAGACATGCCCAAAAGATATCTGTTATTTGACTTGAAACAAAGATTAATAAAATGGGCTTTATTTCTGCCTCCTCATGCACGAAGGTGACATCTAAGTAATCTGAGCAGTTTCACAAGCAAATAGAAAAAAGCAAACACTTAAATTCTGAACAATACAATTAACTCATTGAATTCACGTGTGTGGTAAGCACAGAAGCCAAGAGCTTAATGGGATTCACAAAATGGTTGTTTATACAGGCAGCAAGGCTGTAACAGCTATGCTAGCACATAAATAGGAGTTGTAGAAGAAATATAAACCACAATGTTTAAGTCACAGCCCTCAGAGTGACATTAAATGAAATGTTCAGGGGGAGTCACCTCCTGTAACTTGAGCTGTCTGAAAAGTAAATACTTAGTGCGTACTTAGACCTGTGCTCCTGCTAACAAACCGAGAGGCTGGAAGCTTTATCCCTGGAGGTGTTCAAGGCCAGGCTGGATGGGGCTTTGAGCAACCTGGTCTGGTGGGATGTGCCCCTGCCCATGGCAGGGGGTTGGAACTGGGTGATCTTTAAGGTCCCTTCCAACCCAAACCATTCTGTGATTCTATGATTCTATGAAGCTTCCTAAAGCAATCTGCCTCATCCTAAACCACCCGGGATAAAAATACACCCTAAAGGTCTGCGTCTCTCTCTCCCTTCCTTTCTTAATTACAGAGAAAACATAGACAGGGAATTTGGACAGGTTGCTTTCATTAACCGAGAAGAATTAGTCTCTTTTACAAAAATTAACAACATGGAAGAAAATGCTTCATAAAAAAAGCCTGTAATTTTTGAATTTTTACTAATGAAAAAAATTAACTGTTCTATGCACAAACCCTTTTGACCGACTCTCTACATTTCTAAGCAGTAGGGAGGGCCTGATAAAATTTCAGGAGGTGTGACTTTGGCTGCAATAATTTTTACCATGGACTGCTGAGGCTTGCTGTGTCTAAGAGGCATAACTATAACTACATGGCATGTGTACTACACAAGCAATCTTAATAACATGTTGATTAGATACTTCAGTAACACTGACAGAAACACCAGCTTTTGGACCACGCAAACTATAACCACAACTGTATCGTCAGCGTGTCCTAAATCCACAAGAGCTAATGGACTGTTTTCTCTCTCTGTTCCATAATGGCCTGTCACCTCTCTCCAAAGACCCATCTCTGCTCCACAGGTGGCTTAATTTATCACATAATCTCATTATCTAGAGGCAAGTGTCTTTGACCTGCTTAGCCTGGACTTGGTGCCCTCAGTCAGACTAAGCAGAGTAGCTTCCAAACAATGCTTGTGAACATTTTCTAGCCATGGTCATCACAATGGGATAAACATCCTTTGCAGCCTCGGTAAGAACACTCTCTTCAGGAACTAAGATTTGAAAATACCTGTTTGCTATTTTGTCCTGCCTTATTATTTTTAGCCTTCCCTGATGCAGTTTACCATGCGGCTCCACTGTCACAGTAGTCTGCCGGACAGAATGATGTGGAAGTGGCCCAAAAAATGAAAGTTAGCACCAAAAGAAAAAGTCATCAACTAACAACTTATCTCATCTGGAGTGAAGCATTTAAAACTCTTCTCCATGCAAACTGCATGTCACTTTAACAGAAGAGGCACAGCTCCATCAATGAACAGACCTGAAATGAAGACTCAGTTTATAAAAACTGCTTCGTACATTTTGATAATGGAAAGTCAGCACATCCAGTTTATATCTCAAAAAAAATACTAAAAATCATGATTTACATTAGGACTTTGAATATGCTGACTTTATTTATTAACTTGTTTTATATTAGTGAGGTATACTACATAATTCATCAGGGCAGGCAGGGAGACACAGAGATTAAATGCCCTACAGTGAGCAAACTGCTGCTGCTGGCTGTATCTCCCACTGAGACTAACCATTAGTATGGGCACATTGCTGGCAGCCACATGATTGAAAAGAGCTTCCTCGAGTTCAGGTGTGTTTGTCCAGTTCCTTCAGACGTTGGCAGATGGAAACATTCAGGGAAAGTATCATGTAAGACAATGAAAAATGGGAGACTATTTGGTTAGGGGCCTGCAAGTCCAAGGTATGCAAAGTTTCATATCATGCCAAACTGCAGTGTTTGGCTTTGAGCATCTAAGAATAAACTGATGATGCTAAGGATTTTTAAGAATC